GCAGGGAGCTCAGGACGCAGCCCTGAGGGGAGCCTGTGGTGATCAGAAAGGTGATCTGAGGTGGTGGCGGGGGATGGCGGTGGGGGGGTTGCATATCAGGTACCTGGTTCGATCCCCACAGACTGCCACTCTGGGTCCCTGAGCAAGACCCTTAACCCCACACTGCTCCCCAGCCGCCACACAATGGCAGCCCACTGCTCCCTAAGGGGAGGGGCTAAATGGAGAGGGAATTTTCTCCAGTGAGATCAATGACGTAAGACGTTTCTCTGAAGCTACGTAAACAATCGAGAGTGGTTGTATTTTACTTTCAGACAGTCACACAGTAAAACTACATTTTGGGAATATAACAGTTCCTAAGGTAAAAAACGCTTTATAATCCTTTACTCTCAAAAAGAGGAGGAAATTATTTAGAAACAGTAGAAGAAGAAGATGGAAAGATGGCTGCAGTGAGTTCAAGGTTAGTGTTTGCAGTCGCATCAGTGGAAGATGAGCTAACGGGCGGCCATCATCAGAACGCCGATTTAAGTAAGTTTCTAACGACCATAAATTTTAATACTTAATATATTTAATTTTGGAAGTAACTTTGAACTTTTCCTAATTTTATGACTTAATGTTATGATTTATTCTCATAATATTATGATTTATTTTTTGCAGTGCAAAAGAAGAATATATAGGTGGTAATATAGACACTACCGAAATCTGTTTGATGTGGTTTGTGAGGTTTAAGCATTAGTACCATAAGCATAACTTTATATCGTTAAAACATTTTTGAATAAAAGACATCAGAAAAGTCATGTGTTGAAATATTTGGAGCCAGAATAAAAATAAAAACATTAAATCCAGAGTTCACTTTCAAATCTTACACAGATCTTTATTGTTCTTTTAATTACATAAAAACTCATGGCAAACATTTTGCCTCTTCCTCTTTGGTTTCCATATCCACATCCTAAGAATCCTTTTTTCCCAACTTTCATAAACCTTCCATCCTGAACCTTCCCCTACATCCTTTCTCCATCATCTGTACTTTCTTTAAGCTTTTGATGTCTATCATCTAACCGTCGCCTGGCAGGCAGAGGTTTCACGTCTTTAATGCTAAACTTCACCCATCATGTCTTCATTCTCATCACCATCTGACTCCATTTTTAAACTCCATTCAACTCTTTTCCAAATCCCACTGTTCTCCTGAAGGACAGATGCCTGCGTGATGCTGCAGGCAGCGTCCACAACCAAAGGTGCTGCACTGAAAAGTGTTTTATTTGAAAAAGTCAGCTAAAAAAAACCAACATGGCTCAGTTCAAAATTTTGTTTTAGAACAAAACTCATCATTTCTTCTCATATGATTGGATTTTAACTTGGATTATTGTTGCTGTTGTTCTTTGTGAGAACCTTAGATCCGCTCTGGGTTTAAACTAATGCTTCCATCTGTAAATTCAACAGGATTTAAAATCCGTGGTTTTCAGGAATGTATTCATATAAAGTTTGAGCCTGGATTCGTCTCTAGCTTCGTGTGATGCATTTCATCCTTAACAAGTAAAAAAATAATGCTAAAACAGTGCTGCTTCACAATGCCTACAAAAATGACACCTTAGAATATAAAAATGTAAAACGTTAATTAGCCCCAAATAGGTCTAAAGTATGGTTTAAATATCAAATTAATAGTAAACAGGATAACAAGCTCATTCTTCACAGAATCACACAGATTGATGTGTGACGCCTGGGCTGGTTTCTCCACATGCTTCCCTTTTTGTTTGGGATGCACTTGTACATAGCTGCCGAAGAGGACAGTAACACAGAACACTGCTGGAATAATAAAAACACACATAGACACACATAAATAAAGTCCCATGCGCCTTTGTTCGGGTTTATATACAGAAAGTGTCCGCTGATGAGTCCATTTCCTCCTGCTCAGTTCAAACCATAGTTTCCTTCCTCTTCCCTAAGGAACACAGAGACCTCTTATCCTTTTTGCTTTTGAGTGAGGAAGTAGAGAAGGACAGAGATGAAGCTACTGAGGAGGAGGAGGAGGAAAGCGAGGCTGCCGTGGAGCTTGAGGTGCTGCCGCACGGCGAGCAGGGGGCAGAGTGAGAGGTCTGCTGTGGGCAGTTCTCATCGACTTCCTCCAGGTGGATGATGGCAGAGGCAGAGGACATACGACGCTTGGAGCGGACATCGCTCATGTGTGGACTCTGAGAGGGGGGCTCGCCGAGCGGCTGGTGGACGGAGATGGCGCTACGAAGGCAGTTGAGCCACTGCTGCTTGTGGAAGACATCGTTGACCTGAAGCGTGTGGGACTGCGAGTGGTTGGGGTCCTGAGAGCGGACACGGAAAATGTTCTTGGCTGCGGAGAAAGCAGACATGGAGAATTAGAGATGAACTTGAACGTACACCAATCAGGCTCTGGAACTGTTCTGACTCAATCCTTACCTTTCTCTGAGTTACTGAAGGCTCCTCTAAAGGAACCGCCCATTCTGACGTCTCCATCCTGCAGGTCCTCCAACACCAGATCCTGCACCGGGATTGGCTGCCGATAAACTTGGAAGCACTGTCGCTCGTTCCTGGTGACGGGTCGGGTAAGGACCAGGATCTCCGTGAACAGGAACACGTGTAGTTTCTGTAATTAAATCTAGTTTAGTGCCTGATTCATGTTTTCCAGAGAATAAAGGAGAATGAAAGCCGGCTGTTTAGCTCACCGTGCCGCTCTTGTTGCGCAGCTCCCCATGGCACAGGAGACTCTTGCACTGTTCAATGCGGGGGTCCCTCTGCCTGTCGTCTAGGTACTCCAGCTTCTCAATGTAGTACTGGCACTCAGACTCCCCCTTCTTCATGTTGATGTCGGATAGAACTCCTTGGATGATTGTGATCTAAAGACGAAAGAGCTGCAGGTTATAATCCTGCTGGATCTCACACAGGAGGCTGTTTCCTGTGGAATATGAGTGTCTGAACTTACTGCTTCCTCCAGGCTGTCTGCATCGGGGTGGTCTGCTGGAGTGTGTCTGAGGATCTCTTTCAAAAGCAGGGGGTACTTGACTAAACGAGAGCGGGGGATGTCCAAGAAGCTCCATAGGTCCAGCTTCCGGCTAAACGGGGACTCGAGGCAGCGCTGCAGGAAGTCCTGGACCCGCCGATCCTGCTTCTTCTGGTCCAGCAATGCCTTGGCTGCCAGCTGGTTGCTGCAGTATTCCTTGTAGGCATTGAGCCTGGGCAGCTGCAGAGGAGGCAGAGATGCTTTAGTAATGGTCATCATCCCAAGAAGAAAGGCATTTCCAAAGAACAATAGAGGACACTTACCCAGCTAATGACGATCTGTCCTATTTGGCCGACAGTCCCATCAGACCCCGTGGCTTTGGAGAGCAGAGACAGCAAGTCTTCATGCAGGGGGATGTAGTCGTCCAAGTTGCCGAAGATGTGTGTAAGCTCCTCCTCAGACATGATGGAGAGCTTCAGCATAGGGTCATGGTATGCCTGCAGAAGAGAAGAACAACCACTAGGGTCAGATTTCAGCATCCAGCCAGACTGACCACTGCAGCTACTAAGAATATCTCCAGCTTTGCTGCACGAGGCAAAGCAGAGGAACCATTTCTGTCTTTTTATAGCTGCTGGCTGGGCTGCATAGATAGCCTGCCAGAGTTTGATTTAATATGTTTTCTTTTAGATGTACTCCCTCTGCTTGAAAGCATTTGAAAAGAACAAACCTTGCGTGCAAGCTGGAGGTCCTCAATCAGGTCCTGTTCTCCACGAGACAGCTCAAATATGGCCTGAAGAGAGAAGGAGGGAGACAAAGAGACATCTTCTGTTAGTCTACAGAGCAGTTAAAGCTAAGGATTTCAGTTAGCTCTGAGATGTCTCACTGTCTTTCTAACCCTGTCTGTTTTAAATGTTCCAAAGCTGAATACTTCAGTTGGTTGGCCAGCATTTCTGACACATGAAGGACAAGCAGGAATGTCTGGGCATCAGCTCTTAGTTTGTCAGCTTTATGTGAGTTTACAGAGACAAGGAAATGAGGCCTTGATGACTGAGATTTGGAGTTCAGGAAAATACTACGGGGACTTGTAAGACTTGTCTGGTAAATTCCTTCCTGTCTGGAGGTGCAGGCATTGGGCCCAACCTGTCACCTTACTGTATTTCTGTACTCCAGAGCTAAATCTCACCTCCTGGCGCTTGATCTCTTGTGTGGAAAAAGTTCCTTTCCGATGGATGTCCAACGTCTCTGACCACAAGGTGCTGTTCCGTCTTTTTGGTGGTGTGGGGGCTGGTCCCTGTTTGCAAGGCTTCTGGCCAGATCCTGACGACTTGCCATCACCCCGGAAAGAGGCCTGTGCAGAAAAAGGGATAACATCAGCAATGCCGCCAAGTTTCACTGAGGGGTGATGTTCTTGCAAGATGCCACGAGGGCTAACCTGAATGGTCTGGCCGAAGCGCCGGACGGCCCCATTTTTAACCGGAGAGATGAGGCTCGCTAGCGACGTCACTCTGCCGTGTGGACGGACACGTTTGTTGCTGGGTTCCTGAAAAAGATAAACAGATGAGGAGGTTAGTCCAGCTGGGATTCTTGTGTCATCCTTTCATGTGTGACTTAATCAACCCGGCTAACCGAAGCAGGAAACTCGAGCAATCCTGTGACTTACTAGAGACAAAGCACATCAAGTCAAGTCATAAATCCTTATAATGTACTCCAGCGGCTGATCCCGGGCCTGAGGCCAGGAGCTGTGCTGCATGCAGACACAAAGATACTAGGGAGGAAGTAGCTCCAGCAGCTGTTGGCTCCATCATGTGAGGAGCCAAGGGGCCAATCAGCACAAAGAACTTTCTGACTGCTCGTCTGTTGAGCAAGGAGGTCTGGAGAAATGGCAGGAATGCTGGTCGCCGTGCTTTTCACTACCCGTCCTCATGCTCTGCCATCTCCAGCCCACAGTGTCCGGCTTGCACGGTACTATGTTGCGGGGGGGCAGCCGAGGTTATTGCTGCGAGTTTAGACAAGCTCTTCAACAAGCCTTGCGTGAGAACAATCCTACACCTTAGCCAGGTGACACCCCCCCATCCTCTCCCAGCCCTCAGGCTAAGAGAAGCAAAAGAGCTGCTTGACTCTGTTCCAACAACAACAGCAAGGAGTTGGAATCAAAGAGCTGGAAAACCCTGCAAAAGCAAAGCAACAAAGCTCCGGCTTCAAGGATCCTCTGAAGAGCATGAACTTCCAGAAAAAACAACAAATGGTGGCATGCTCAATTTTGTGGAGTGCTGAACTGCCACAAGTGCTTTTTTTTCTTCTTCTGACTCAGGCCAAGCAGGGTTTAGCTTTGGCTCAGTGAATGTGGGAAACAGTGCAGCCATTGAGGCTGTGAGCGCTGTGGACACAGCTGTGGAACAGATCAGCTCCGCTGCGGTCGGGGCTCCTGCATAGACCCCTGAGAACTTTGACCACTTCTGGCAACAAAGAGATGCTGCGTGTCGCCTGCTTGTGGTCTGTTGAGTTCAAACATGCTAGCCCTGTAATTTGCCCCAGATCATATCATCAGAAGATATTTATATGGAGAACAGAGTAAAAGTGGTGGGGGTGGGGGGCTAAAGTCAATGTTGGAAAAGCGTGCTGAGCATTTTGCCTTTCCTGCCCTCTGGCCCCAGAATAACAAAGGGCCACTAGTCCTGCTCTTTGTCTATCAGCTGTAAAGTGAAACAAACACAAAGGCAGAGAAAAGTTGCTGTTCCTGTCAGTCTAACTGGAGTTTCAGGCTCCATCCATGAGAAAACTCTCTTTAAACGTCTAAGATTACAGCCTCACAAAGTTCCTGTGTTTCCCTTTGATCTTCCTTTACCTTCAACCAGACAGATGTGCTGCAGTGATTAGAGAACAGCTGGCCTCCATAGGGAAGCTTTGTCAGGTTAGCGTTCCGGGAAACTTTCAGATGGAGCGTTTGTATGATAATGTGTTTCTATGCTTAAGGCAGACTAGATTTCATAGATGAGTTTTAGTTTGAGAGTGTGGCTGATGCCCCGATGCAGGGCTATAGAGCCTCCTGCTGCCCCAGCCTAACCCTCAGTCTAACCATGGCCTGCTGGGATCAGCTCTAAGGGAAAACGCTAAGATCAGAAGAAGAGAAGCTCTTTGTGTTGATGGGTCAAAGTCTCCTGCCGTATACTGGTCCGCTGATAAAAACAAACACTGATTCACTCCCAGTCTCCCACATATGACTTCATCTGAAGAGTCAATCATTTACAGGAGCAGCAGCAGATGCTAGTCTGTGAATTTCCATCTTACCTCGGATTCCTTGCTGGCTTGGTTTTGGCAGTCTATCACTTGTAGAGTCCGTTTGACAGGCACCAAGCTACCCAGTTCATCGTAAGCCACCATAGCTTTTAGTGGAAACGCAGAATCCTTTAAATCCAGGTGAGGAAGATCCAAATAATCCACAAAATGATCGCTGAGTGTAAATAAATAAATCCGCCTCCTCCCTGTAGTCTTCTCTCTAAATGCAGCTGTCTCATCTGGCCTCATCCACACTGTCTAAACTTTGCTCTGACTCTCAGTGAGGGGGGCAGGCTTTATACTGAGCCAGGCAGAGGGGAGGAGCTTCTCTGGGAGCTGCTCAGGTCTACATGAGAACAGAATACGTGGAAATGAGCAAAGCAGCCCGCAGCGTCTGATCAAGTGAAAACATTAGTGGGAAATCTGAAGATCACAGTAAATCTTACCGCTAACTGCAGCAGATGAGGGTCTGAGAGGAGAATCATTACTGCAGCAGCTTTATGCTAGAAAAACAACATATAGATAATCAGCCTGCTGATCTATAATCAACACTTTATCATCCTTTAGCAGTTCTGTCATTATTCACAACCTTTATAAAGGAACAGAAAATAAAAACACATAAAGCAGCATCTATGCATAAACAGCGAATGTTTGAAATGTTTTTAATTGAATGAAAAATAAAACTGATCTGTTCTTCTGAAGATGCAAACAGTTAAAGTAGAAATCATCATTATTATCGTGACTTTTAGACTTTATTGCCTGTTTTTCTCGTTTGTCTAAAATAAATCAGGAACAATTTCAGCATAAAAAAAACAGAATTTGATAAATAAAATATGACGTTAATTTCTAACAAAAAAATAATTTACCAATTTATTTCTGACATTAAAACCTTTTAAACGAGTAGCTCCATTATTTACTGCTCAGTGTATGTTAGCTTAAACCATGCTAGTTACTCCCCACCTGTGGTCACATCCTCCATCATGCTAATCCTTATGCAAAGTTTCCCTCCCCCACCTGTTGCTGCTACCAGTTTCCCCTCCAGCATAATTCCCAGTGTTGGGTCCAGTTTGTAGGTGACTTTAATCACTGATGCGGATTGGAGAGGCTGTTTAAAAATGCGTCTAAAGTTGAAAATGAGGGAAAGATGGAGAATAATCAGTCAGCTGCATTCAGTGAGTTTCTCCTTCTGTCTAATAAAGTCCCATCAAAGCTGAAAACCACAGAGCTGTTTGGTCTCAGATGTTATTTAGGAGGTCGTTAATCAAAGCGATGCCTGACACAGAGCTTTTAGCAGCGCCATCAGCTGACACTGTGGGGGGGCAATTAGAATATGAATAGCAGGGGCACGGTGGCACACTCAGCCACATGTTTACACTGAAACCTGTGCAGGAGGGGCAGGGTGCAACTTCTCCCATTCATCTTCTAAAGGAACGTTTCAGGCGAGACTGAGCTAAGCTGGGCCTATTTTCTATTCTTGTTCACCTCATGAAGACATGCCCCGCTGAAGGACAGTCACACCCAGACATCTGCTGCACAGATGCAGGGCGAGGACGGCGAGGCGTCCGACCCGCCGGAGTGCAAACTGTAGAGAAGCTAGAGCCAAATGCAGGAGGCTTTGTTTGGTTCAATCCAGAGGTGTGAAAAACAGCAGCGGCTCTGAGCTGCTCCATGTCGCACGTCTGTGGTGACAAAACACAGACACTGATGGAGGTGTGGAGATGTTAACACCATGTTCTGTAGCAGTGTTGATTTGGTGCAAACAAACGGGACATTGTGTGTGATCTACAGGACGGGTTCAGGGCTGAGCGTCTGCACAGCGCTGCAGACTTTTACTCACACTGTTCCCTGAACCAGCTGCATGTTTGAACCAGCTGCTATAAACCAGCCTGGCTAGACCAGCCTGCAGCTGCAGAGCGCTGGGACAGTGAGTAAGGCGGCGAGCGGCTGCTTTTTCACCTCCCTCCAACCCGTGGCGTGCCATGGAGCAGACTGGGCCTGGAGGCACTGCAGGCGCTGAGCTCACCTTCACCTCCACGCACACAGCTTCATTCCAGCTGTGGAGCCGCCGCTGCCCCCTGCTGGCCACAGGAAGAGTTACACCAGTGTCAATGAGTGATCAGCAGAGTCTGCATCTACCTGGCCTCCAGGATTAACCCCTCATATGGCTCCAGCTTCCAAACCAAGATTTGACTGATTAAAATAATCTGCCCTTCAGCTTCAATCAGGTCGATGTGTGGACTTTGACTAGGCCATTCTTTGTTGCAGTTACACAGTGATTTATCTGCTGCTGCCTCAGATCGGGTCATGCTTCAGTTTGACCCAAAGATACTTTGGATTCATCTCAGCGCTGCAGAGTCCAGGTCTGCTGGAGCGTATTTAACAGCTATACGTCTCTAAGAAGGACATTCAGTTCAACTTAAGCTGGGTTTCATTTTCCAACCTTTCCAAACCAGCCGTACCTGTCCAGCCAGGTGAACTCTAACATGCTGAGGCGCGTACTCTTTGTTTTTCCTCCCTCTGAACAGTTTGACCTTTGGCTTCTCTTTATTCATCATTCCTTAACATTTCTATTCTTTCATTTTTGTTTTTGTTTATAGCTGTTGGTAATAAAATAAATCCCTTTGATAAAAACCTGTTTAGTTCAGTTTGTTGTTGGTCTAAGACCCACAGGTCGAGTTTAACGTGAACTTTAGGTCCAAAATGTTTGAAATCAGCCTTTCTATTGTTTGCTATCAGTGTGTCTCCAGGCAGTATTTAAAAAGGAAAATTTAATTTAATACAAACTTTAAACAAATAAAAGCAAAATTTCTTTCCCAGTTTTAAGACATGGAACCTTTTGAACTCTTCCTGTTTAGCTTCAGATATCTGCCCTGTAATTGTTTCCAGATCGGATCAAACTGAACTGGGTCGCCTCGGTTCAGCCGCTCCTCAATGCTACTTTTATATTTGATGGATTTTCTATTAAATAAATGGTTGTTTTTTCCAATATGTGTGATTAAAATAACATTATTTTAAATATTAAAGATATTTTAGATGCTTAAAATCCTAAAACTGTGAATTAAAAATGTGTTTAGATGAAAATGATCCTGGAAACCAAACAGCCGTCAGCGGAGAGACGGATGATGGTGGAAATGATCTTATCTACAGACAGTCGGTTCACACCCGCAGCTCACCTGGTTGCTACCAAACAAAACGCAGGTAAACAAGCAGACACCTCATCATTCACCGTCCGCGCTGAAGCTGGGAGGAAAAACCGGCTTCATCATCATTTCACATTTGCTCAGGCTGTGAGGAGAATCCAGCCGGAGGTCAGAGGTCAGGCCTGCAGGGAGAAACTTTCCAAATAAACACAAACTATCTGAACCTAATATCACAGCAAAAAATGCTCTAAAATTCAATGAATAAATGTACCTTTAAATGTACGCAGGACAATAATATAATCTGCAAACCTTAAAGATATAATTAACTTTAAATGATCCAATATTATAGTTATTTCTACTTATTTTAAATCATTTTCTTTCTTACCTGCTTAGATCTGTTGTCTGTTTGCAGAAGAAGATCTCAGGGAATTATTAATTTGGGATTTAATTTAAATTAATTACGCATTAAATTACTCATTAAATCCAGTTTAAATCTACAGTCTAAGTAAAGCTTAAAACATTTACGTTCAGAAATCTCCACATTTTTAAATACTGATTCTCTACATGTTTAAATCCCATCTGCAGGTTTATATTCAACCAGCTCCTGTTTGCTTTATACTCTGATGTAAACATAGCAGAGATTAAACTGTTTATTAGATGATTAAAATGATCATTAACCAAATAATTTAGTTACCAGTCGCTCAGCGGATTCTGCAGACGCTGAAGCAGGTTTTAATTCATCGATTCAAAATGGCGTCTCTGAGCCTTGATGGCGTGTTTTTATGTTTTATCCGTTTGACGTCTGCAAGAACTGTTTGATTTTAAATTTATTGAGACCGTTTTTTTTATAATATATTTATCTGTTTTTAGAGGAATCATTTCACTTAAAATCACAACTTTAATCATTTACTCAATGGCTACATCCCTGAAACAAGAGATTTTGCAGTTTTAGCATCAAACCTTTACTTTCCCTGGAATCTTTCAAAGAAATAAAATTAAACTCATATCAGCAGAAACATTTATGGTCCTTCAGGAAACAGATCCAGAAATATGGAGAATTCAGTGAAACCATGAAGAATAAAACAGATTCCAATAAAAACAGCTTTAGTTTTTTATTTTGAAAAGTTTTCAATCCTGAAGCGACGCTGACTTTAGAAAGACGATCCCTGAACGGCAGCGCTAAAGGCCATAACATCAATGCCTGCTATTATATCTGAATGTGGAGTTTATTTTGACTTGAACAGCGTTTGGAACAATCAGCCGATGCATTTAGAGAAGGATGATGAAAGCGTTGCTCTCTGAGGTGGAGCTCCGTGTTCTGAGGAACTGAAAGTGACTCAATTAGACGATAAAATCTGATTAGAATAGAGGAGTGTCCTGGAGGAGCAGCTTGGTTACCATCAATCAACCCATCGAACCAGATGTTCCTCTCTGAGCTCAGATTTAAATGTTGGCCAAACAGGGACTTCCGCCCAAATATCTCAGACTTCATTCAGGTGTCTGGTTCAAATCCCAAACAACAAGCCAAGAGACGAAGCCTGAGGCTAGAAATGTTCATTCAACACCATGTGTTGATGTGAGTTCCCATTAAACAGCCAAATACTGATCTGACTGACTAACGTCGACGTCCCGTCAGTTCAAGGTGAATCAGGCTTTTCACTTTAAGCTTCGCTTCTTTGGTTTCAGGTAAAAAAATGCTCATCCAACTTCCTACATTTTATATTCAACTTGTTTAAACCTGAGGAATAAAACAATCCCTGATAATCTTAGTCAGATTAGAATAGATTCTGCAGGTGAGGGTCATTCTTGACGGGTTTGACAGGCTTTGTTTCAACTATTACAGTAAATGTGTTAGAAATGACATGATTTGACTTCCTGGGATTTCCTGCCGTCTTTATAACGTTGTTATGTTGTCATGGCAACAACTGGCCTCTCAGTACTGACTGTTCCCAAAACATAGTTAACACATGTATCTTTAATTCATCTGTTAACTTTTGTATTTAACGTCTCGATTACATTTTTATGAACTTTTTACTTTTTTAACCAAAAGAAAGTTTTTTTAACACTGTAAACTTGGCTAATGAGCAGAGAAGGGCTCCACTCATTGCTGTTACTACTTTTTAACAATTC